AATATATATATATATATATATATATATATATATATACATATACAGTATTCGTCATGTACATTAATTTTTTCACTAAGTTTGTTCTTTAAATATTATAATATTTTTTTTAAAGAACAAGATTATGAAGGAAATTAATGTAAATATTTGTGTTTTTAATCGTGAGATATTAAGATATTAAGTTTTATAATTTGTTATTTTATATATGTGATATATATTGTTGCATTTAAAAAATGATTTATAATATATTGTTTTGCACGTTTTATGATATTAATAAAATCTAATAATCAAAAAAATAATATCTAGATATTAAATCTTTATGTATATTCTAATTTGTAGTCATATTTAGATATCTTACTTAAATAAACATCATATAATATTGGTTAAATATTTTTAATTCAATTTTTTTAATTAACAAAATCATTTTGGTTAAATCTTCAGACTTCAGCAATAAACTAAATATACAAAATACAAATCTATCACAAAATTCATAAAATAACAGAATAAAGAAGGAATGACATGCATTCAAAGACAAATACAAAATAAAAACATTAACAATATACAACAAATTCAATAATGTGAAGGAAAACAATGTAAACGTAAAATAATAAAATGCACAAAGACATTACACAAATTACAAGAAAATGTCACAAGTGATTGTAAAGTTTAAACACCAGAAAACGAAAATACACAACATGCTATAAATCAAAACTAATAAATTCTCGCTCGAAAACATCCTGTATTCTTTTTTTTTTTCAAAGATTCTGTTCTCATATCTTGGTGTGATTTTGTTTTACACGTAATATTATTTGAAATTTTTTGAACACATTCTATTCTCTCGAATTCTATATCACCGGTTTTATTCACTAAAAACTCCATCAAAGATCTTATCTCTTTCAACGCAATACTGTTGAATGATTCTTTTGGATTTTCTAAATCATTTTTAAAATTAATTTCGTCAGAAAAAATATTTAATGATGACATTTTAACAGATTTAAAACTCGTGTTTTTAGTCACAAGATTGTTGGTCGATTCTTCCGAATTTCTCAACTCGATGTTTTCAAAATTCATTTCATTGGGAAAAATATCTGATGACGATATTTTCACAGATCTAAAACTGTTATCTTCAGATTCACTGTGACTATCGAAAGACGTTTCACTTAATGGTGACGTAATTTCCGTTTGCTTGAGATTCTTAAATAATTCGATGATGCCATTTCTCTTATCGTTCCTCTTTTGCATAATAATATTTGTTACACTGTTATTGCTCTTCGATCCACTTTCATTCGATTTATAAATTTCATTAATCTTTTTCCTATGTTTTGATTCTTTTTTCAACTTTCTCGCATTTTCTCTCAATTTCCGTTTGTAGATGCGTATAGACCGATATATATTTCGTGCTCTAATGGCGGCAACTTGAAAAGCCGCCACTATTCCACTTGAGATAACTTTAACAACAGATTGATCTTCATCTTCTTTTTTCTTTTTAACCTCACTATTATTGAAAATGCAATTTTTAGAAGATCCAGATGTTAATGATTCTTCTGATTCGTTGAAAAATAATTTATCTTTCTTATAATCTGACAAAGATTCGTCACACTCTTCGTGTATCTGATCCAATAATTGTTGAAACATTTGAGAGCATTCTTTGGATGAATTTTTATCACTTTTAATCACTTTTATATTTTCAGTAGATTCTATATTGGTTGATTTTAACACTTCAATTAGCTTTGTAGAAATATTTTTGAAATTTTCTTTATAATCATTCTTTGAAAGATCATTATTATTATCATAAAGTTCTATTTTTAAATCTTCTTCGTTAAGATCGTTTTCATTTTTAGAATTTACAGATTTGATAATATAAGAAAATTTTTCCGTCTCTGTTGAATTATCAGTAATTGGAAATAAATCCATCATTGAAAACGCATTTTTTTGTTCCCGTTCCGTTTGCGTTTCCATTGCTTGCAATTTCATCGCTAAATTATTCTCAAGAATAGTCTGTAAACTTTTAGATGTTTTACAAAAGACACTAGTCTGAGAATAAGCATTGTTATTATCCTTAAGTGTATCTGTTGCAACATCTTTCATTGTTTTTAACAAAGATAGCAAAGAAATCTCATTTAAAATTTTTTTATCCTCAATAACACTGTCGTCCATCTTCTCGATATTTTTTGCTAATTTCTCTTCTGAATTGTTTTCGTTTTTCAAATTTGCTTTAAAATGGGAATAATGTTCAATATCTTTTGTTTCTAACGAAGATTGCAAAGAAATCTCATTTAAAATTTTTTTATCCTCAATAACATTGTCGTCCATCTTCTCGATATTTTTTGCTAATTTCTCTTCTGAATTGTTTTCTTTTTTCAAATTTGCTTTAAAATGGGGATTATGTTCGATATTTTTTGTTTCTAATGAAGATACCAAAGAAATTTCATTTAAAACTTTTTTATCTTCAACAACATTGTCGTTAATCTTTTTAATATCATTTTCTAATACCTCCTGTAAATTCTCTTCTTTTTTCAAATTTGCTTTAAAATGGCAATTATATTCGATACTTGAAGACACATCTGCAAAGCTGATAGATTTCTTTCTCAAACCTTTATACATTCTTTGCTTGTCTTTTAGATATTTTTCGGCTTTATTCACCAGATTAATATCTATGCCCTGATTACAAAGAAATTCTTTTAACATAACCAATGACATTGTATGAGAACCCACTTTTGTTTTCTCTTTTTTAACATAACTCGGTTTATTAATAAGAATATTCGAATCTGAAGTATTGTATTTTTCTTGTTTCTCGTTACAATTGAGAACACAAGTTTGAGAAACATTATTTTCCTTAAAATTTTCATTTTCCTTTATTTTGTCATGCGAAACAACTAATGAAGGATTAGAAGTAGGGCATGTTTTATATAATTTCGAAACTTCTAATTTATTAATGTCAACTGAAGACGAAGTAAAATTTACAACACAATTTGCATTGTTTTCAGAGACAAAATTCGATCGAATTTTTGGTTGAAAATTTTCAAAATTTCCATTTGGTTCAACATTTTCTATGATATCTTCAATATTGGTATTTGCAACTGAAATAAAATTTTTCGATATAATTGGTATCGAATAATTTTCTGGTATGCTTTCTGGCATTTTAAGATTTTCTTGAAATCCTTCATTAACGTTTAATTTGTTTTTTTTATATACTTCAGAATCGATATCCCTCGTAGGCTCTTCTTCATTGATTTTCATTTCCTCCTTGACTGCATTCAATTCGCACGATTGTTTGAAAGGAACGGTATTCGTTTCATTATCGGAATTTTTATTTTCTTTCTTTTTCGCATCTTTAATAATCTCTTCTAAAACTTTAAGAACTTTCGAATCTTTCATAATCTTTTGATTTATTATGTCACATAAAGATTTATTTCCTTCGAGAGATTCATAAGTTTTTGATAGAGGTCTTGATATTTTTCCTCTTATTTTTGTTCTGGGACTGATTTTCAAGCTGGTGGTACTTCTTCCTTTTATCATTTTGAAATTATCTATGTTGGATATGATATCTTTCGTTGAATGTATTTTGGAAGGCTTCTTTTTACAATCATTCGCTCCACGTTTCTGCTGCTTCTCTTCTCTAAATGAATAATTTTTGTTAACATCATTATATGTTCTTATTAAAAATTATGAGTATAATTATATATTAAATAATATTGTTATTATATAATATTTCATTTTTGTTTAATATTTTAACAAAACTTTAAAGTTTGAAGTTTAATTCAAAATATAATTCTTTAATTAGAAAAATTATAATAACACGATTCTATAATTTTGTGAATGTTTTTAAAACAAAAAGATTGAAATTCAATATTCAATGCTAGTTGCAAAAAAATATCTAAAAAATTCTTAATACTTTCATCGTGCATGTTTTATTATTGTCTACTTCTTGATATTTTTAAGATTTTTTTCATGTGATCCATATTTTTGTTGTTTATTTGTCAATAGTTTAATTAGTTTTTTATATCTATTAAAATAATGAATTAAAATATAATAGATGATAAAAAAATAATAGGCAATAAAAGATTCAAAAAATGTTAAAAGAAATTATAAAATAACAAAATGAAATTTTGACAATCTTATTTAATCAATCTAATTAATTTAAAATTCTACTTTTATTTTAATTAAATAGTATAGTAAAATTTCTTTTTTATTTTACTTAAATATCTTAATAGTCAATTGCTTTAACTTTAACAATACTTGATAACAATTTATATTTCCTTTAGCATTTAAGCATTTAAATTTCATAAAATTAAACTTCAAACTTATTTTTATGAGTTATACTTTTATAATATTCTTATAATTTTCATAATAACAAATTTTGTATACTTTGCATTCTCCAAATTCGTTTTTTCTTTGATATGTATCATTGGACGAAATTTTAACATTGTTGCACTATTGGAAGTATTAGGAAATTTTACTGTACCACCTGGTTTCCAAACAGGTTGTTGATTATTACGGTGTTTTTGACGAGAAATCGATTGTTTGTACTGATTAGAACTTGAATTGAACATCTTTTTTGGTTTTCGTTCTAAATGACGATTATCGGTTATTTTTTTATCGATAATTGTCTGTACATCATCTAGATGTTTTTCTTTATCTAAACCTCGTGGATATAATGATTTTGTGAAAGTCTTGGATTTGGATTGTTTCAAAGGATTGATGGGATTTGTAACCACTGACATTTGAGTCTCGATATTACTTTCTTTTTTTACAAGGTCTAATTTCATATTTTTTGATCGAGTCATTCCAACTTTGTATCTGAAATGTATATTATATATATATTTATTAAATAATAATATTTCAAGATTGCTTTAATAAAAAAACATGAGCATAAGAAAAAATAAAATTATATAAAATTCAAAATTTAAAAAAATAAAAAAAATTTTATCAACTTTAAATTATAATATTTGTTAAAAATAGATTATAAAATTACTTAGTATCATTAGAAATATTGTTTATATGACGTTTATGTCTTCCTAAATTTCTCAAGTTTTCTTTTTCCTCGTTTTCAGCCATTGCTTGTTTCACCAAACATGAAATATTTTTGATTAAATAAAATATTTCATTCGTCCAATAGTTCGAAGTTAAAATTATTTCATTCAAGAAAGTTCTCTATATTCGTTACAAGTAATTATTGACGAGTAAAAATATCAAGTATATATTAATAAAAATATCATCACATTTTACCATACTTTTTTATTAATTTGATGACCTTGAAGTAATTCTAATTGCATTTGATCAATACGTTGTTCTGTAATAAAAAATAAAATATTTCATTTTCTTTTTTTTGTAAATAATTAATTTTTTAAATTAATTATTATATTTATAATAATATATATATTATATATAATTTTAAAAAGTATAAGTAAAAAACATCAAAACAAATGTATAAACCTTGATTTTCCAAAGTCGTTTTATTAATTTGCATAATTTTCACCAACTCGATAACATGATGTAGTAAGATATTAGTGATTTCTGTTTCAGCTTTATAACTATCGTTTGCACCATGAATATAACTCTTGCACCTGTATATTATAATTTTTAAAATTGTCCAAAAATTAAAATTACCATTAAAAGTTTTCTGAGTTAATTTCCTTATGTTTTTTAATATGAATTATTTTTATATAAATAAAACGAAGATAAGCATATATATATATATATATATATATATAATTTTTTTAATTGTTTTTATCATATTATTTAAAAATAAAATACATAAAAATAAAATGATAAAAAAAATTGTAACATAAAATTAGTTTTATTTTTTTAAAAAATATTTATAAAAAAAATATGTATGCTTAATATTTAAAAAAAATTATAATAATTATATATAATCTTATAATAATATACATATAAGAGTAATTATTTTAATGCTTTAATATTAATTTATATATTAGTGAAAAAGTAATAATTGATTGTTTTTTCTTTATTCTATACCTTGTTATAGTTTTATCCAATAGTTGGAACATCATCATCGGATTTATCGATATCATTGAAACCGAGATTTGTAATTTCATTTGAAGTCGTTTTAATCGTTGCCAATCAGAAGTTAATCGTTCGTGAATCTTTGTCAACATTTGACATATATTTATTTTATCACCACTAATTTGTTTTAATTGTTTAGTTTTTTCATGTTCATTATTATTAATTTTTATTCGTGTAGTCTCTTCATGAAAATCTTGAGAATCCTCAAGATCTTTTTTTTTATTTTTGTCAATTAACGGTTGTACATTTTCATTATATGAACAAGTTTTATCATCAATTATATTCTTATCATTATTATTTTTTTTATTTTCCCGTTTCTCGATCACTATCTTGATCTTGTTTTTCCCCGACAAATCTGTAATTGAATTTCTTCTTTTTAGTTTTAATTTTTTGTTTATTATTCTATTAATGGTTTCTCTGTCTGATGACAAGTTACTACTTGAATCTTTAATATTATCAATTCTATTATTATGTTGCATCGATATTTTTGAAACTTCGTTTTCACTTAAGATAATAGAAGATTCACTAAACATATTCAATTTATAACAATCAATGTTTAAATTATCTTCGCCATGATTCATTTTATCATTTTCTTTCTTAAACATAGAATTCTCTTCTATCTTTGCAGATTCATCAGTATATTTATAATCGTTTGGAAAATTTGTTCTCTCAATAGAATTAAGAGTATCAGTTTTTATATATAATTTTCCCTTTTTATTATTTGATTGTAGAAAAGAAATCCAATTATCTTGGTCTTGGTTTTCTTTAGGAATTTCTTCCTTTTCAATCGCCGAAATATTTTGTTTTTGCTTTTTCATTAATTCATTATTTGCTAATTCATTAGGTTTTGAAAAATCAGAATCCAATAATCTTGAAGAATTTTTAATGAAAGAATCGTTGCTTTTCGTCGTTTTTGGCAATGTAATTGAATCATTATTTTGACATTTCTCTTCTTTTATTATAATTGTTGATGTATCTTTTTTTTCCTTGTTTACTGTTATAATATTATTTACATATTTATTACATTGTAAAGAATGTATGTTTTCAATAGTATTGGCACATAATTTTTGTCTCTTCGAAATCTTCGTATTTTCGCAGACAGATAAATCATCTATTTCTTTTGTACTACATCTTTCCATATCTTCAGATACTTCAGATTTTTTAAGACCATTTTTTCCATCCGATTTTTCCATTTTCTCGTTTGTGCACGTTTTTTCACTCACTTCGAAAATCGTAACCAAATTTACACGTGGATTGACTTCTTCCAAAGTAAATATCGAATCTTCATTTAAATCATTTTGTTGCTTCCATTCCATTGTTTCATTTTCTATAGGATTTAATGTATATACCGTATTAATGATTTGATTTTCTTCATCTGGAGTCGATTTAATAGAAAAAGTACTCTCTGATATATTTCGTTCAGAAATGTCAAAATTTTCATTATTTTCATAATTTTCTTTTATATATTTCCTTTGTAAATCTTCATTAATAAGATCATCTTTTGATGTGAATTTTTCCTGAAAACTTTCATTAATTTGACCATTTTTTTCTTCTATGTATTTTTTTGTAAATTTTCATCATTTTGACCATTTTCTTGTACATATTTTATTTGGAAATCTTCAATTTTACCCATCTTCTCTTCCATGTTCTTAGCATTATAGCTTTCTTTCTTACGCTTATTTGATTTTATTTTCGATGATACAAACTTATTCTCCTCAATTTCACATTGTTCGTCATTTTCCTTCGAAAAAGTTCTTATCGAACTCGTCTCTCGATTTAAATCATTCTCGCTGTTTATTTTCTTTTTATAAATTTCTACCAGTTCAACAGGATTAGTAACAACACTATCATCAACAATTCTATCTCCTATGTTTCGTATTCTCTTCGGGGAAATTTTATTTTTTTCTTTTTTAAAAGAAGAAGCGACACATTCTTCCTGCAGCAATGGATCAATAATATCTAATTTATCGTCAATATTCATGTTTACCTTAAAAGATTGTTTATTGTTATTATTACGTTTCGAAGATGTGTCTTTCTTCGAAGAAGTGTCGGCTTCAGGATACTTATTATTTTTGGATTCTGTCTTCTTCAATGTGGTCTTTGAATGCACTTTGAACACAGTAGTGTTCGAAGAAACATTTTTCCCTTGCAGCGATGAAACACTCTTTGAAATCATTCGAAAATGTATTTCACGTGCCTCGTCGCTAAGTTTTTTCGCAGAAATATTATTCCGATTCATCGAAGTTCTGGCATAATTTTTGTGTGAAACTTTATTATTACCACGAAATTCTTCATTGCTTTGGTAATTGGCCTGTTTCATCATCAGTTCGTTTATCCTCAGAATTTCTTGGAGCATGTGTGCTTCGTAGGATAACGTTTCGTTATATGTGGGATTATTTTCACTTGGCATTGTGATGTTATCCATACGGGATTCATTGAGACGGTAATATTTAAAAATTGCAAAAGATGAATCAACGGCTGGAACGAAAAGAAATCAGAAAATATTTGGCACTGTAATGAACATAATTTCGAGATATGAGGGTTAATGTAAATTTTGGAATGTCAATGTCACATGTACTTTCAAATGTTCTCTTTAATTAATCAAATTTCGAATTGGTAACATTTGCAGAGCGTATGTGAGCTTCATTTTCGATCAAATTTTGGATAAGTATTGATACAAAATATATATAAAATAAAAAAAATAGAATAACAATAGTATAACAGTATAACGATAAAAAAAAGTCATTGTATTCTTTAAATGAAAGTATATTTATATTTTAATCAGTGAAACATATCATAGGATAAAATGTGTTCTGATAATTAATTATTAGTACGGCGTAATAAAAGGAAAATCAAAGCTACGTATTTTTTTCTTAATCTCCGGAAGTATAAGTATTTATTATCACAAGAAACGGATGTAAATATCACATTATAGTTATATACGAATAAAAAATGAAGAATAAATTATAAAACGAATTATGCATGTTATTAAAAATCAAAATTTCAGAATTTCAGAATTATTTTTAAAAAATATAAAATGCTATAGAAGTGCTGAACATAAATAATAAGAAAAAGAAAGTGAAAAGAATTATAAATTCATTAAAAAAAATTATTTTTTAAAATTATATATAATAAATAATAAATATATTAATATAATTATATACAATATATGTATACATATATTATATCGTAATACATTACGAATATATGTTATAATTTTTTATTTTATAATATTATTTTAGAAAAAGAAATATTTTTGAATAAAAATAAATCTACTCTCTTTATCATTAATTTAACTTATTAATATATCTTCGTCAATTTTTAATTAAAAAAATATTTATATACATAAGTTTTTTATCGCATTAGAAATATCTGAAGAATATTTAAGAATTTAATGGAATAATTCAGAAATTAGCAACACTAAAAAATATCGATACAAAACTAATTTTATTTTGTTTTTTATACATGCCATCTTTGATGTAATATTTTTTTACTAGGTTATGAATTAAACAAAGTTACATCTTAAAATATAGAAAGAGTACAACAACTATTTCTGGAACTGGCGAAAGCTTTCGAAGGATTTCCAAGTTGCTCCAGATTGCACTGTGCTCCAGCTTTTTTGCAATTGTATCCTGAATCGAAGGATCAGAATCGCGAAGTTAAACGTATCAATGGATTGTCTGTGTTTGTTAAAGAAATAGAACCGAAATTTGAGCACAAAGAAATTTCACGGAATAAAACTGATAAATCCAGGTATAAAAAGCTTAAATTAAATAAAAATAAAACACGAAACATGAATTTTTTGAGCACATAATTTTAGAGGAAAAGGACAAATGTAATTAAATAATTGACAAAAAGATAGACAAATAATTCTAGTATTAATAAAAAATTAAAATATTTTTAAGAAAATAAATATATATAAATAAAATAAAAATAATTATTAAAATGGAATTTATATTGATAATAAGTATTAGCAATAAATAAGAAAAATATAGAATTGTAACTATACAGAATGTAATTCTTTTGAAAAAATAAGTCGAAAATATAGAATAAAATTTTTTCATTTAAGACTTCATTTTCGAATAAAATAAGTTTGAAAAATTTTCAACTTATAAGTTGTAATTAAAATTAGATATTAATAATAAATAAAGTTAATTAGGTATGAATAAACTATCAATAGATGATTCCTGTTCATATATAAACACAAAATGTAGAATAAAATCACTTAAATTTTTGTTTTTAATAAAATTAAGATTGAATATATAAAGATTCTTGTTATTGATGAATTTTCAAAATCAATTTTCATTCAATTATTTCTACTAATTTTAAATGAAAAAATATTTTCGACTTACTTTTTTACATAGAATCATTTTATATCATCAGTTATAAAACATTCTGTATATTTCAATGAATATAGATATTGGTACAAATATATTTGGAATTCCACCAAAAGAATAAATGAAAAATATTTTCGACTTACTTTTTTACATAGAATTATTTTATATTATCAGTTATAGAACATTCTGTATATTTCAGTGAATATAAAAATTGGTGTAGATACATTTGGAGTTCCACCAAAAGGAAACGCGTTCGTTCAGGACCTATCTTCTCCAAGGAAGGAAATAAAGTTATATTTAATTTTCGACACTTCGTGAAACCCGAGAAAATCATCGACGAATACACTCGTGTCAACATTTACAACAAGTAAGATTCGATATTTAAACTGAAATAATGTAAAAATTAGAAAAAGATAAAGAAAGAAAAATATTACGATAAGATTAATTCAAGCTTTTCTTTGTAATGCCGAACAAAAGCGAATGCATTAAGCGAAAAATACGTCTATGATGTTAGTACGAGAACAATGGAAATTGAAGTTTTGCAAAAATGAAGTGTTGCACGAAACGGTGATGGGTTTTTCGAAAAGACTGATTTATGGAATTTCACAGGCCGCGTTTTGTCAAAATTAACAAGAAAGAATCACCGAACTCTACGCCGAATGTTCATGAGAAACAAGTTTCATCGGATGTGAGTCTTCGTTACAAACCAAAAGAAAAGATACGAACCAAAACTGATGCTTCCGAAGAAAAGATATCTGGATGGAGGTTAAATAAAGTTAGATATGTTATATTGATTTCAGTATAATTATTCCCAAGAATATTTTTCATTTTCAATTATATTTTTATACTGAATAAATACTGGCACCTGTCATTGTACTTTAAATAACTTACTTGGAATTACGTTGGAAAATATTGATAGCCCCTAGAAACTGCATCAAAGAAAACAAAAAGAATCCCGAAGAGAGTTCCAGCAACACAGAATTTCGTATATGAGTTTAATCCATTTGGAAATTCCATATTAATTTCTAATAATGCAACCACAAAAGGAGCACGAAATCCGTCTAATATCGCACAAGGAGGTATAATATATTCTATGAACATAAATATCTCTTTAATTTGATTAAAAATTTATATTTCACTATTATATTTTCAGATTTATCTATGAAACTTATAAATGATAAGCAAAGTTTCAGTAATATTCAGACACACGCAGTGTTACCAAAATTACATCCACGTAGCGATACTGTACTAGGAAATTCGGGAAAACATGAAAATGTAACTAATTATGGGAAAAATGCTAATTTATCTACTATAAAAAAACAGGAAACAAATGTTGAAGAACGATTGATTAAAAATCGTAGTACAAGACGTAAGATTTTTACAAAGATTCTTTTTGATAAACAATTTATCTTATATTTAAAAAATTCAATATAATTCAAAATAAAATTAAAATTTGATATTTATCTCTTATTCATAATAGTATTAAAAACATTCCCTATTAATTAAAAATGACACTTAAAATTTTAAAAATTTATCTTTCACTAATATATTTCATATATTTCAATATTATTTTAAAATGATTTATAAAAAATAAGATTAAAAATATTAAATAAATCAAATATATATTTATTAATTATTTTATGAAATATATATGAAACAAACTTATATATTGTTAAAAAAATGTTTAAAAATTGATTTTTCAGACAAACATGTTAACGATATCGATCGAGAAGTTGAAAAAGTAAAATCAGATTGGCGAGCATTACGTACAGATGGCGGATGGACTCAAAATAAAAATTATAAAAATGTTCGAACGAGAAAATTATATGATACATTAGAAAGGATGACACTTGAAATAGATAAAATTCAAAAACTCTATTTGAATCCGAAATCAAATCAAAATTTGCAACGAGGCGAGATAAAATCAGAGTTATCTTTTGATGAAAAAGCAGGGAAAATTAAACATATGCTCTTTCCTAAAGAAAATAAAAAAATAGTTGACGATAAAATAAATAATGTGTTGAATGACACTTTAAAAAATAGTTCATTAGAAGTAATTTCATCAAAAGATGTGTGCAATAAAAAAATTGAAAAAAAATCTATTTTTTCTAATTCACAAATTCAAAATACCAAAAGTGGTACAAAATTAAATAACAATTTGCGGTTGAATAAACGAAATACAGATACAAATAGTTCAATAAATTTAAAAAAGATTAATTCTGATATTGAACAATATTTGGACAAGTATATTAATGACATAGAAAAGAATTCTATTAGTAAAAAAGAATTAGAAATTAAAGAATTAGATGTTCCTACTGATGATATTGCAAATATGTTGAAAAAGCTAAATATAAATTCTTTCGATTTGTACGATATTGATAATTCTGAAGATTTCCCACAACAAGAAAAATTGAAAAGTATAAAAAAAGAAAATTCAATACAAACATTAGATCAAAAAATTGAAAGTACAAAAATGTTATTACCAAAAGAAGATAATAATTCTTCAACACAATATAATAATAAAATAAATAATGATAGTTCAATCCAAACAAAAAATATGTATAAAGATAATGCTTTCATAGAAATGGGTTTGCATGCATTGAATAATAACTATCCTCGAAATGCACTATGTCATGTACTTCAATCAGAATATTTGAAAAAAGACACATCCTTAAAACCTATGTAGAACTTTAAATATTGAAATATTAAAATTTACGTACTTACATTTCAATTTAAACAAGAATGATATTATATATAGTAAAATTATATGATGATAATAATATAATAAAATTAAATAGTAAAAAGGATATAGGAGTAATATTTGAAAAATATTTTAAACGATATAGAAAACATATTTTTTTCATTAAATACAATACATTACTTATTTAATTATATCTTTTTATATGAAAGTGCTTCAAATACATATATAAATTTGAATATGTGAAAATTAATTTCTGTTTTTTCTTTTATATACAGTCTTGTTTTACAGAATATACATTTATTTTCTATATGAAAAAATGAGAATTTTCGTTTATTTATATGTTAAAATTATCACAAGATATTTTTTGTTAGTATCATTAAAAAATATACAAACTAAAAATGCACGTAGACTAATGTATTTTACAATTCATTTAAAAAAGTTATTTAACCAATTCCGCCATGAAAAAATTATGGCACTATTCTAATGAATGACCAGCATTACGCCGTGAACTGCAAACTGAACGCAAAAAATGTAAAGCTTTCTTATTTTATACGTATCTAATACATTGATATATCTTCAACTAACCAATGTGTCATAAATGTGCCATATTGGTATCTTATTATAAGTGATAAAATTTTCAATAAAAATCGTATTCGGCGATCATGGTCGAAGGAAGTATGTTTATGCAACATATTTTTATCAATTATGTTTCTTCGATAATAAATATTTATGAACACGATTTTGCTCATTACATATCACAATACTGGTAAAGCTGCACTGTGACTTTGGTATATGATGGCCCCTGTAAAATTGATTGCCGCAGCTAACACGAAAACAGGCATCCAACGACCATGCGATGCAGTCACTAATTCAGCTGTTAATGGACCACATAAAATACCCGGTATAGTTGCCTAAAATATATAATTAAATTACTAATTATTATTTGTAAAATATTTGTAATGCTAATAGATATAGACATACAATGGTATTGGAAACTGCAAATGTGATTCCCGCATGATTTGGAGCTATATCTGCGTGATTACTAAGATGACCAGCAGAATTACATGCACAAAGTCCCATAGATATTGATACAAAGCTATAGATAAAACATGATTTTAAGTTATGTTATAAAATTAAAATAAAAAATTATTTTATAAGGACTAATTTAATTGTAAGACTAACATTACTGCAGCAAGTAAATTATCCACAGCACAAAATGCTAATAAAAATGCACCAGGACCAATTAAACCTATATTTGTCATTAATCTTCTTACAGATAAGATTGGCCATCTTTTTTGTATGAGATTATCAGCACTATGTCCAGCAACTGTAATAAAATAATTGAAATATTTAATTAATTTTTCATAATTTTTTTATAAAATAAAAATATTGTATATAGTACATACCAATACCAACAAGAGAATTCACAATATATGGAAGTGCTGTTAAACTAATACTTTCTTTATTAGCAGAAAGATTTCTAGCCAAATAAGTTGGTAACCATTGCATTATTATATAGTTACTCCAATTCATTGCAAAATGTGCTATATACAGTGCCCATAAAGGCCAATGTGAAATAAATTCAGTCCAACGCAAACTTCTATTTTGTGTTGTCTTAAAATTGAAATATATTAATTAATTCTAAAATATTTATTTAAAATAAAACATAATTTAAACAAATTGACTGTTTTACCTTAGGTACGAATAATGGGATTTCATCTTGAGAATTAGTTTCATGATATAGTAATAACCATAAAAGTGTCCATATAATACCAATTATACCAAATAAATAAAATCCTGTTTGCCATGACAAATGAGGACACAACTGTAAGTATTTTTTATCTTTTAAACGAAATAATTATCAATAAATATTTTTTAATAAAATATAGAAAAAATAATATTATAATAAACATTTATATATGATATAATAATATAATATAATATACATTTTAAACTTACAATAGATGCAACAACTTGTCCAACAGAGCCAGCTGCTACAAGATATCCAAATGCTCTAGATCGTTCCTCTACAGGTACATTATGTGCAAATAAGTGAAAAATAACTGGTAAACCTAATAACAATTAGAGAAAAATATATGATTTATAAAATTAATTATGTTGCAAAATTATTTATTTAATAATGTTTTACCTAAACCTTCTCCAAGTCCTAAAACTACTCTACAAATAATGAGCAATAGGACTGATTGAGCCAAGATTGGAGTTATAACTGTACTAATAGACCATAATAAAACAGCCAACATTAATACCATTTTACATCCAAAACGACTTGCTGTATTTGCACCAATAATCTAATATAAAAATTAAATGTAAATAGAATGATTTAGAATAATTTCTTAAAATAAATGGATCATAACTAACTTTTAATATTAAATATCCTAATATACCTGACTAGTAAAATAACCAAAGGCAAAGGCAGAAAGTATCCAACCTTGCCAATATAAGCTCCATTTAAATTCGTCAGAAATGGGAACAATTGCTATGGGCATTATAACTCGATCTGCCGCATTTATAAAATTCGCGGCGGAGCATAATGCTACAATTCGCGAAGTACGTGGAAGCATTCGAAATTTCGGCATGTTTGGTTAATTTTTCAAATCAGTCATATCGTATATCCAAAGGATTTTTAACCTTAATTGATACGTTGATTAAAAAAATGTACTAAAACATTGTATTATTTTAATTACGTTAATATTAATAAAGAACATCAGTTGTATAATTTTTACCTGATTAAACAGTGCTACATTTAATAAACGTAACAAAAAAAAGCAACATAAAAAATATTCACATTGTAACACATAAAATCTACAAAATTCGAGACGTGTCAAATATTGTCATTTTGCAATTATGCGACAACGTGTACGACACGTTTTCAAATCTTTTCTGTAGATGGTGCTTGGATATAAGTAAATTGCTACAAGTATGAATATGATGATATATTTATATATATAAGCACAGACAAGAAATAGAATAGATATGATATCTTATAAAATTTTATAATATATTTCAGAAATACCAATCTTTTTCTACGCCATCTAGCTTAACTTAAGCATATAATTAAATTATTTAAAAAGAATAAGAAAAAATTTAGATGTATATACTTCATGATTTTAGTAAGTAAAAAAAGAATCTTATTATCATAATATTATTTATAATTTAATTATAATTTATTAAATCTATAAGATCTTATAACTAATTATATTATTTCTCATATTACTTCTTATAAAATGTATTGTAATCATAGTTATACAGTGGTATGATATATATATATTAAATAATTTAATAATTTAAATATATTAAATAATTTCTCATACTCTTTGGAAATTGCTGCAATTAAAGATCTACTTTAATGATGATTAATCTTTCCTTGTTTTTTCCCAAAAATTTATTTATTTTTAAACAAATTCTTTTTTTGGTATATATTTGCTAAATGTTTAAATGTTTTAGTAAATGTGTAATATACAAAATAAGTAAAGAAAATCGATGTGAAAGATAAACAAAACAATTATATTCCTATGGAAATTATATACATTAAAAATTAAAATAAGTATTTTTAATAATTATGATCTTTGACAATTTATTCAACATAAACAAGGTATTTATTTAACATAATTATTTTACAAAATAGAAGTTTACATTATTTTACAGATAACCAATATATATTCTATGTACAATATTGATTTCAAGAACAAATAAGATTCAAAACAATCAAATTTTCAATTTATGGAAAATATTATATGGCAATTAATAAATATCTTATATTAAATATTTGATAAATTTAAACTCATGGAAGATGCTCTCCTTGTGGATGGAAACCAGTGTCATCGGCAACATAATTTACAGTATATGCAACATTAGTTTGTGGGTCAATGAAAGAGAAGGTACCTCGAACTCGTAAGAATTGACCATCAGTTCCTCCTTCGACCACTTCTGCAGATTCCTGTTTAACTTGACCGTCGGAAAGTTGGAAACCGTAATTATAACCACCAAGTCCAACATTGTCAGAGGGAGTTTCTTTAACGAGAACTATTTCTTGATATAGCGGCGCAGCGGAAACAACGACAACCAGAGCAAAAATAATAATAATCTAAAAGTAATTAAACATATTTATTATTTTTTAAAATATAAATAATAAAATTTAAACAATAATTAACTCGAGTTAATAAATTAAAACATAATTAATTATTTTTAATTCATTTTATAGTAAATATGCATGATTATTATTTTATTACTATAATTACATTTTATTTTTACATAGTTATAAATTTATTTCAGATAAAAAAAGAATACTGCATACTAAATTATAATTTGTATAAAATTTGTATAAAATTGATATACAATATATACAAAATTGATAATAACAAAAAAAAAGATTAAAAAGTTTTATCATCTCTTAATTATTTTTTTGGAATTATAGTTTCTACATCAATTTTTGTGATACATACCGTTTTCATTTTGGAGGTAGATGTGTATGGTTAATCTCGATTGGAAGACTGATGTTCATATTAAGAATCGTTCCGAATTTTATAGTGGCCCTCCTTCTGCCAAAAATTGCATCGTTTTACGATAAATTCACCTTTCACCTTTTCTTACTATGTTAAAGACACAAATATTACTAGTTTGACCTTCGTTTTAAAAGTGTATAGTTTTAGCGAAATTAAAGATTTTGATTTTTTTAAGTTTGATAGAAAATTTCCTTATGAAAATTGTGGAATATATTATAATTCAATAATAAAAACAGCAAATATATTATAAGATGATTCTGGTATACAAATATAAACATTTAAATAATGTTAAAAAAAAATAGAAAAAAATTTTTTTGTAAATAGTAAATTATAAATTTTTTTTTAATAAATTGATTTCTTTAGTCATAATGATAAGTATAAACTAAAATTATTGTAAATGTACAATATAAGAAATATTCTTCTTTAAAAAGTTATAATTAAAAATCATACAACATAGAAGATTTAAAAATTAGAAAAAAAATTTTGAATTAAACTTAATTTTTTATGATATGAGATATTAGATATTTAACTAAATATATTTAAAAATTGCAATTAAAAAAATTAAAAAAATATATATCTTTCCAAAACCAAAATAAAATAATAAAAAATTAATAAAAAATATAATATTAAAAATAAAATAATTAATTAATATAGAATGCAATATGTATACATTATAGACGTATTGGATTTTCTTATATTTTCTAATATGTATTATAACATTAAATTTTTTAGATAATATCAATTTCTTCATTAGTAGAATGAAAATTATTTTAAATTATTTTTATTATTATTGTTTTTTTTTTAAATGTTAAAGAGATCTTTGATGTTATAAGAGTATTTGATCAATTTCTAAAAGAAAAATTTCTTTAAAAGAAAATCAAAGAAATCTATCATATAATTTATTGGATTTTTATAACTTGTATCATTACGACACCATTATGCGCAGTTACTTCGCTATTTTTATAATACTATCAAATGTACGCAATCGTTTAATTATGAACATCTATAGATGAAATTGTCATTTAACATAGCTTCATAATATATTCATTGTTTTTTTTTTTTGACAAATAATTTATTTCATTTAATTTAATTTTGAATCTTTTTTTATTTTTGTATCATCCATTTAATCATATTTATGAATATTACATTCTATATTGTTATAAAATGTAGGAGAACGATATCTATTTAAATATACATATAAATAACTTAGATTATTTTTAAACGATTTGTGAAGATTATGAACTAGAACTAATTAAATATAATTAAAAAATTAAATCATAATAAAAATATTTGCTTTCATTAGGATATTATCTATATTTTCTCTTTATTTTATAATAATATACATTATATATGATTCTGAAATGAATATACATATTATATAGTATAGTGTATAATTAGATATAAAATTTGATTTTTTTTTTTTTGTGATATAAGTGAATTCAACTGATATAACTGATTTGATAAAACTTTTTAATATTATATTTAAATGAATATGTTTTATTTTATCTTGTAAATATATTTTATCTTATAATATATTTCATAAAAATAAATATTTATAGTAAAAAAGTAATGTTTTGAATTATATTAATGAAACAAACTTATTCAATTTAAAAACTTTTTATTATACAGCCTTTAAATAAAATTAAATAAATTAATGAAATAGAAAAATACAAATATAGGAATGAAACTAATTATTATTGCACAAATATATGTGTATAGATATAATAATAAATTTTAATTGGAAGAATTTAGACAAGAAAATATAAAATTTATAAACTGTTTTAATTCTGTAATTATTGAAATATTATATTTTAAGGAAAGAGAGATATATTTAACAAAGCTTATTGTAAATATTTTTTATAAAAAATTTTATATATTTTTTCAAAATAGGTACTATTCTAAATTTAATTTACAATCAAGTTACACAAAATATTTTTAATAATATAATAAAATTTTCAAAATAATATCTTTAAATAATAATCAATCTTTAAATAATAAAAATTTCAATCATCTAGAAAATATAGGAAATTAAAAATTCACAATAAGATTTTCAATCACTTAATCAAAAATATAAATAATATACATTATAAATAATATTATAAATTTTCAAAAATAAATATTTCAATAAACAATTTATATTTTATAATAAACTGGATGTATAATTTAAATAATTCTTTTATATTCAAAGTAATAAACTCGCAGATAGTATGGTGTTCGAATATTAATATAAATAACTGTATATTGTCTATTCTATCAAAATTGCATCAATGATATATTTTCGATAAAAGATTATTCCATTACCTAGCTTTCTCTATCTTAATAGAAATAACGGTAATAAATAAGATTTGTAAACTTATAATGATAGAGTATTAATACATTTGAAAATAAAATTTTTGAGAATTACTCTCGAGAATTATTTTTCGCTAAAAATAAACTGAAATATTACATTGAGAATGAAAGTTACTATCGTAATTATTCTTAACGAATAATGAAAAATCTTGTGTCAAAATCTTGTGTCAGGATATAAAAATATGTACAAGATCGATCTTAATAACATCTCTTTGAACAAACAGAAAAAAATAATAATCAAAGGAAAAGAAATATACAATCAAAGAAACACTTGATTAAAGAAATTTATAAAATTTATTTAAAACTAAGATAGTACAACTCAAGCAGGAAGATGTTCACCCACAGGATGGAAACCATTCTCATCGGCCACGTAGTTTACAGTGTATACTGTATTGCTTTGTGGTTCCACCCAGCTATAGCTGCCTCGAACAGTTAAAGCCTCATTTTCGGTTCCTTCGTTAACTAATTCCGCTACTTCCTGATGAGACTGACCGTTGGAAAGTTCGTAGGCATATCTATAGCCACCCAAGCCAATATTATCTGAGGGTGTCTCTTTGACGAGCACTATCTCTTCTTGACGTCCTTGAGGTGCTGCATAGACAACGGCAACGACAAGAGCGAAAGCAATGAACTGTAAGAAAAGAAAAAAAATGAATCAATTAACACTTGAAATAAAATTATGCAAACGAATGTTTTGTTGTATGTTTCAGTCAAAAAAGTGAAAAACTGATTGGTAAAAAAAATATGTAGATATGCCCAATTCTAAAAATAGAATTGTTTCAATAATTGTTTTGTTAATAAATTCAATTGTGCACCAATGTACGTAATAAAATTTATACGTAATAAAATTTATTTAATAAATATTAATTTAATAATCGATATATAATATTATAATTAATATAATATTATTACATAATATTATTAAATGATATGAAACTAGAGTAATTCATTTTTTAAACGTGTCTTTAATTTTATTTCATGCCAATCGCCACTGTCTTCCGCTCGTAAATATGTGAGTTTTCGCGGTGTTTCACGCGGGTTATGCAAGAAGATCCATTACTAGTGATTTATTTAAAATAGTTCTAAAAACATATTTGCATCTCGACAATAGACAAGGGAACGAACGATAATATATGTAATTGCGGTATCGTTGTTAATAGTACATAACAATACTATGGGCTTTAATTGCACGTTCGTAAGCGTTTTATAATCGGCGATCTCTTACGAACAATTATTTTATTTTTTCCATTTCGAGGATAAAGATCCACCAATGGAAAGAAACGAGATTTCGATATTATCTTTTTCTTTTCTAAACCGTGGAAAAAGAAAGAAGAAGGAATAACGAATTTAAACAACGATAAACACTTTTGACATCCGATATGTCGAATTATTAGTCGAAGAAAACACGCACCAGCTTCATGATCGGTTATTTTGGTATGGAACTTCTTTGGATTGTCGAAGACGACACAAGTGTTGTGAGATGAGCTAGATCACAATACTGATTCGATCTTGATCCACGGGACCGTTATATAGTCGGATTTTCAAACGAATTTTACCCCTTCCAGGGAGGCAGACTTCCAAAATTCTTCAGTAAAGATGTCGAAATCATCGAGTGGCATTGGCCGGTTGGCGGTGGTAGAACGATGACCGACAAAGGAAGAGGCGGTGAATGTCAGGCAAGAATTCAAGGAAGAGCGGCCCAGGATCGAAAATCGCACGTGATTTCACTGTGCTTGTAATCTCATACGGATCCCCGTCTTACCAAACTTGGATGGAACAATGGACGAAATCGTCGTCAAAAAATCCTTGCAGAAGATGTATAGGATTTTTTATCATAGTTTAAGGGAAGTTAAATAAAAATGATTGTTCAGAAGGGAATTTTGATTTTATATTTTTATAATTATAGCGTACATAAACATGAAAAATATTTTTATACACAGAAAAGTATTATTTTCCTGCAATAAATTTTTCAAAAAGAATCTGTGAAACAAAAGTGAATCTCAAAGGTATAAAAAAATTGGATGAATTCTTTTGAAATTTTAAATTTAATTAGAAAAAAAAGGAGGATCGATATATTAATAATTGTAATAGAAACGCATTATATATTAGATATATGGTGATTAATTAAAAATGACTTATTTATAAAAAAAAAAGATGCCACAGATCTATATATAAGCTTATTTTCCAGAAAAATTCTCAATTAATACTACGTAATTTAAAAATACGTAACCATAACTGCATAACCTTAAAAATGAGTACATAATACATAAAATTGGATATAATCATGGATTGGAAGAAATAGCGGGTTGTTACATCTTCAGCATCGATATTCCAAAATTCTCGTTATGTGTTATACAATCGACCGAAGCTCTTCTTAATGGAAGTATTAGTAAAAAAATGGTTGAGAACTTCGATATATCGACATAATTCACTCGTAATTGGATTTAGCTTGTCATTACGACACATGGATCTTCACCGTCGTTTACATTTTTTACAAATTGATCGTCGATCGAAGCCATAATATTCGGAGGTCACGCAATTTCATTTCATCGAAAGGTGAATCTTGATCTTGAGCAAAAGTCACGTTCGGTTTCGTCTAACAAACGCTACCAATCAAAACCATAATAATTTTATCATTAATTTTTATGATACAATAACATCACAAGATTAATCTTGATTTATTTCTATATTGAAAATTTTTATTGCAACATTTTTTTGTACTGTTGTTTATTCTTTTAATGATTTTACTTGAAAAATTATTTAAAGAGTGTATAAATGTAATTTAAATATTATATGTATTATTCTTTTATGTTAAATAGTTTATTATGCGTATTTTTAAAAAAAATAATAATATATATTTCTAAAAAATAAATTGTTATTAAATGAGATTTTATTATTTATATTTAATAACTTATACTTAATAACTTTTAATTTAATAATGAAAATATCAAAATTAATATAACTTAGCACTCTTAATGACTAATCAAATTATTTAGCTAAAAACAAATATTTTTATATTTTATATTATATTTTATAAATTAAAAAATATTTAATGTTAAAAAAATATTTTATGTTTTGATAATATTATATTAATATTTGTAACGTTATGAAAAATTGTGTATAATAAAATAAAAATAACAATTATCACATTCTTACGATATTTTTTTGCTGTACTAAGTTCATTATTATATTATTACTTACTATCATATATTTTGCTCGATTTAGAAATCCAAAAAAAATTCGCACGCAACTTCAATTCGATAAATCGATAAATCGCTATTAAATAATTATCTAATGTGGAATTATTTTTTTCATTTTCAAGCGTGTTACAATCATAATGTTAATCGTTTTATCTTCGTTTGGTGACAATTCTATTCTGTTTTCAGTATTCTGAACGATACTAGTTTTTAAATCTTGCAAATATATTCAAACCCAAGAGGATTAAAAATAAAGAACGCAAGGAAACGTTTCTTCGAGAAAAATGATTGCGTCAAGACAACCTTGTCGTTCTAAGGTATCTATGGTATAATGTTTCCACGTGGATTATGACGAGAACAAAACAATAGCATTCTCTAATTTCTGTCTGTAAAAAAAAAAAGAAATGAAGGGATGGAAGAAAAAAAAAAATATGTGTGGAAATTCGAAAAGAAAGTCGATGGATATTACGTAACGATGAAGGCTGCTTATGCTAATGTCTGAAAGAGTAAGGTATCGTTGCAGAAGAAGAAGAATTGGTGGAAGGGGAAGAAGATGAGTCTTGGGCTTAAGAAGATCTATGTTCTTTCTGTCACGATTCTTTTTTTTTTCTTTCCTGGAATTTGTTGCAAAAAATGATAATAAGAATAAATAATAATTGAACATAATTGAAGTTTATCTTAAAATTTCTGTGTAATTATATTTATGTATGATGTTCTTAATATATCACTAAATTTCTGAGAAATTTTATATTACATAAATAAATAATTAAAAGTTATAATATTTTATTGAAGACAAAAGTTTAAGAATTTTTGACAATTGACGATTTAACAATGGAGATGATCTTTTCATTGTTGGTATCTATTTATACTATTCTGTTGAGTCATGTATTTGGAAACCTATAATTTAATTCTTGATATAATTTGTTCTAAAATTCTTCTCATGAATGAGCAAAATTGCTACTATATTTGTTTAACTTAAGCTAAAATGAAAAATAAAAAGTATTACTTTATATATAAATATAATTGTTTATAAAATGTGTATTAAGTATCCAAAAAAAAATTAATTATCATAAATTAGCATATATTATCATTATAGCAAAAATAAAAAAATGATCTTGTTTGTTTGAAATATAATAATCTCATTTAAATTTAATATTTATTATTAAATAAATTTATAATAATCTCATTATATCATATGTAAGTTTTAATAAGAATTTTTATCATATATGAATAGTTGCTAATTAGTTTTTTTATTTTTGAAGATTTTTAATTAATTATGTTTATTCGAATTTTAAAACTATAATATTTAATTATAATATTTTATACTAATCAATGAGGAATTAAATTATTATAAGCAGGTATTAATAATGTATGTAATCTATACATCCTTAAAATATGTCTACTTAATACCTATATCCTTACATAAATAATATTTATATCATGATTTAAAAGAGTGAAATATTAATTTTAAAGATATTCAACTGGTGTCTATCAAATGTCTCGTTTAAGTCGTAAAATTATAGTAAGAATGTAAAAACAGGATTTGTCAGTGGATAAAACATGTTTATCCCTAGAAATTACATATAATTGATTTATGTCTATTCAGATTCATTCTTTATAAAACTTTTGATGTCTTCTTCAAAAGTTACATTTTCTAACTTCAAAAAATCATTAATCAATAATTAATTTTATATTTTTCTACAAAAATGTAACAAATTATATCAAATGTTATTACTTATATCATTACTATCTTATTTTGTTTATTATATATTATATTATTTATTATATTATATTAATAGATATTAATTTTTTTTTTTTTACAATAAAAATATAAGAGCAAGAATGTATTCGTATACAAGTAGCATGATTTTTTGATTATGATATAGAAGAGTAAAAAAAATGGCGTCGAAATCGATCACATCAATTTTTGTTCTCAATTTTATTCTCAATACATACTTTCAGTGAAATTTCTGTTGATCAGGTTTCGTTAAGTTATTTCCCCACTCAGAAGATCCTCTTCATGGTGAATATATACTTAGGTGGCATGATATTAGATAATCAGTTGAGTTCTTGCGCGCTCGTGCATCGGCGCACGGGTCGTGACTTTTCCCTTTTTGCTGCGGCTCATCGTGAAGCGCGACGATATTGTATAATCGATTGTGCACGACAAGAATCTTCTTCTTTGGATAAAGAGGCAAAAACTTCGATCGACTATTGGAGAAATTGCCTCATGAAACAAAAACGTTCATAATTTTGACTTAACAAAATTTTAATTTTTGTCAAAATTAATGATATATTTAACTGTTATCTAAATATAAAATGTAATATATTGTATTATAAAAAAATCTGGAATTAAAAACATAAATTTTATTATTTAAACGTTTAGAAAAATATGGAATATATTCTATTTTAAAAAGAAATATATTAGAGTTGATTAAATAAATCATAATTAATAATCATATTACCAGTAAATAGAAATTGATTGCATAAGCTTTTTGGTCGAATCGATGATGTAAATTCTTGCCTACAATTCAGAAGTACTTGACTTTTAAATACCACAAATACTATATTATACGATAAAATTCATCAGAAACAACTTTCTTTTAATCGTATAGTTTCTCATATTCAATAAAAAATATTCCAAAAATCAATTACACAATTTTTTTATTTTAGCTTTAATATTTTTGTAAAGATTAAAGATTAAAGATATATTACTCATATGAAGATTCAAATAAATCAATTTTAAGATTAAAATAAAAAATATATATATGTATATAATATATATAATATATAAATATATCTTTTCTTTAATAATTCATCATTTCTTTGATCAAACAATCTCACAAATATACAATATATATTTTATCAAAGATCATTCTATAAAGATTATAATTAAATTATTCATATAATTACATAATTAAATTGAATGCATAATAAAACTTTTTTAGTTAAAATTCCTTTATTTTATTAACATTAACATATTTTATTAATATAACATTTCTTATCCAAAAGTCAAGGACTAATTATAAAAATTAAAATTCTTTCACAGAAGTTGAAATTGTTAACATTATAAAAACTTACTAATTTGTTACAATTTTTTATCATTAAAAGTCATGATTAAAAGTTAATTTTTATATATTTAAACTTGGAAAGTCTTCTCGTTTAAAATTATTCAATATCAATTATTCAAATTCAGAAACACAGTGCCAGAAATCATTGAAATCAAAAATGAAGTCAATTATTTCGTTACAATTCGAAGGGGATACTGACTTGAATCCATCACCACTATCTTGCCAAGTAATCTCTCGTTTCATGTAACAGATGTAAAGCGTTCAAATATTACGTTTGCTTATATAAATAATTCTAACGAGATGATTGTCGCGATGAATATCAGCGTTGAGCTATGACGACTGAGCTTGCTGTCTTCCCGTTTCTATTCTGTGTCTATTAGAACTTGGATAAATGAACTTGGATAAATAACTGAAAGGTATAAAGGCATTCTGGTGAACAGAATGATTTAATCCTGAACAAGAACATTGCTCGATGTTTGTGATAAAAGTATTAATAAAATGATATTAGTATTATTATATCTTATTTTCGATTCGTAATAATAATAATAATAATAATAATAATTAAATAATTCTTAAGGACAAGTTAATTTCAAATGTTTTAAATATTTAGAATTCTTCAAACAACAATTACGAGTTGCAAGAAAAGTAATTTAAAGAATTTCATTAAAATCTATTTAAAAAAAAGTTATAATTATTCTTGTATAATAAAAGATAAAATATAACAATATCAATATTATAATTTCATTGTAATAATAAACATATTGTTCGAACAACTATAACGATTTCAAACAAGCTTGAGAAGAATTTCTGTGGATTTGCCATTCGAGAATTTCCTGAGTAAAATCTGGCATATTTTTTAGAAAGTCCAATCTAGAAAGTTTTTATTCTATAATTTATCGATTAGATTGACTTTACATGTAAATTACATTCTATTTCTGAATTTTTATTCGTTAAATTTAAAAACACAAAAATACTTATTATTTTAAGAATTCAAAATTAATATAATAATAAAAATATCAATTTGTAATATATGCATTTAAAATATTACGAAAACATAACGAAACATAGAAAATATTGTTCTGAATAATTAAATTACCTGTTAATATATCCTAATATACTATATACATTTTATTTTCTTGTAAAATTTGCATCACAAATTGACGTAATTTTATTAAAGAAATATCAACCAAGCTCCACTTAAAATTCACTCACACCATGAAAAGATGAAGACACGGCCGAGCATTTTATAAATTACTTATAAATTTTAAAATCGTGTTCATAATCATTCTCTCGATATACCAAAAAATTTCACTTTCTTGAAAATATGAATTCTTTGACAAGGCGATTTATCATTTTCTAAATAATATTGTCTCATTAACGCCAGTTAGTATAGTAGTATATTTTTATATAAAAATTCACCGTATATACTTCATTATTTATTCAAACCAGAAATAATTATATATATATATAGATTGAATCATATTCAATAATATACTTGATCCTATTAAAATTAAAAAGAAATTTATAAGTTAAAATAATAAGAAGTACAACGAGGAATAGCGATAGAATTAAATACCTTATTAAAATTGATTCGAATTAAATATATATTGAACTTAATTCTATCTCTAATGAAAAACTCACGTGAGAATTAAAAATTTCGCAAGAATCTAAGCTAACATGGACCACATGAGGTCGATGTTGCTGTTGTCATCTTCGTTGTCGTCGATGTCGTCGTCACAATCGTTGCCGCCGGCTTAAAGACACTAGTTGCGTAATAGAGCTGGCGAACACGATGGCATGGATCGGTTAAATGCCACCACACTGTCGGCAGACGAGCCTCCACTGATACACAAGTACTATTGCGTCTGCATAGTGGATTTTTAATGGTGGCTACGGAATCGAGACACAGGTGAATTAATACTCCGTTAATAATGGTGCTCGAGATTGCGAGGGTGTTTCAAAAATGTCAAGGATTACTCTTTGTGAATGATAGATATTGGAATGATAAATTGGATAATGTGTCCCTCTTATACAAGAGGGAATGTGTAAATCGTCTTTTTGAATAAAGATATGGAATGAATTTCTATTTTTAATTTCAAACTTTAATAATAAAACGATATTAAACCAATAAAACTTTAAAGTATTAAACTTTAAAGTAAATATATATTTTTATAGAAGTAAAATTTTGATACGAGAAATATATTATCATGTAATTGTTAAAGTTTAAAAAAATATTTAAAGAAAATAACTTATACAGTTCCTAATGATGCAATTTTGAATTAATTAAATATAAAATAAATATAAAATAAAAATATGAAATATAAATATATAAGAATCGAAATTTTTTAATTAAATATTAAATATTTAAATATTTAATATCAAATTTTTTATTATTGTAAATAGTATTTGAAATTAATATATAAATAATATATTATAAATTATTAGAATTAATAATTTATTGTTAGTTAAAGATTAATATGAAAAAATTATTAAAGTGAAATTTGGAGTAAATAAAAATTATATAAAAAATATGTTAGGATTAATATCATTATTATTATTGTGTGAATTCAACTATAAAATTAATACTCATAAATAAATCAAAAGCATTAATAATGCTTCAATAAAACATTTAATAACATTAATGCATTTAATAGCACAGAGACATTAGTCATATTCATTAAACCATTTAGATGAGTCAATGGTTTCTGAAATCAGAAACTGCATCATCATCATAATATCACCGTTCAAATTGATGTCTTTGATAGGTATGTCTTCAATTCGTTTTACTTTGACGTTTGAGAAAGATCATCAATAATTATTCTTATTTATTTTATATATGATAAATTATAATTCATTTAGATTATACATCTTATAATTTAATAATTGAAAAATAATAAACTAAACAATAAAATATACAAAAATGCATATTGTAGACGTAAATACGTGAAATCTTTATTCGTAATCACGAAATATAACAATATTTATAGCAATAAATTCTAAAATAATTTATTTTTTCAAATCTTAAAATCTTATTAAATTCATCTTTCTTCTAATCTGAATTTCATCAGTTCAAAGATATTTTACATCATCATAAGCACGAAATATATTATGCATTCGTGAGGCATCAACAATATTCTGGATTAAACAGAAAAAAGTGCAACACGGTTAGCCAAGATACAAATCTACCCTTTTACCTCAAAAGTGTCGTCTAGCCTCGCAGTCGTGAATCATCCATTGTACGTAAAACTTGTATCGATCGATTTATTTCATTCGTGCTGGATAAATTATCGATACCATCTAGAGAGAGAACAATCACGAGTTCAACTTCCTTTTCTTTCTTCAACTATGTGAACATTGTGGCCGTGAAAAAAAGTTCAAATACGAAATTTCACTGTTATTCAATTAACGCTGAAACGCATTGGCTTTGTAACTAGCTATTTAATACACTTTCTCTCTTTATACCTTCTTCCAGTTATTGTATTATGTAATTTCACCATAAGATTTAAATGCCAGCGGGCATTATTTTACCCAGTTTAATGAAATCTCCCTTGAATCATTTATTTCTGTTTTTTCTTTTGATTATTGCAATTACTTAATCAAGAAGATTATTGCAATTAATGGTTTACATGAATTCTGAATCATCTATATCAATGATATTCAATGATAGATTAAATTTTTAATCATTTGTTTGAAAAAGATTTTTGCACTTCTGCCTAATTAAATTATTATTATTAATTAAAATTAATAAAAAAATCATAAGTTACATGTTATCAATATTAATAAATTATCTTATATTAATAATATTAAATTTTGTAATAAAAATAAATGAAATTTTATAAATTCTAAATTATTTGATTAATCTATTTCTTTCATATATAAAATTATAATAATATCTATATTTTTCACTTATTAATTCACTATTATTAGTTAAAAAAAGAAGAGAATTGTAGAAGAGAATCCAGATATTGTAGGAGAAATAGGAATCTTCCTTTTAATTTAAGCTGAAAAATAAAGATTGGTTATTTAAAAAAAATAAAACAAATAATTTTGAAAAAGATAAAATTGCGATCAATTTTATATTATATTATACTCACATTTTTTTTTTAAGTGTGAGTAATTTTCACAGTATCTTTGACAACTCATATTATACAAGAGACGTGTCGCATAACTTCTTTCGGAAAGTAAAGAGGAGTCAATATTAGGTATTGGCTCATCGAAATAGTTGGCCTGAATGGTTTCAACGATATCTTGCTAATATCATGATTCACAAGTCGGCATGAACTTTCCGTTTCAACGTTCTATAGCTTCTCCAATCCTTCGAGCATCCTTCTTCTCGCGCGAACACGATTGATTTATTTAGCGGGTGTCAACGTTAGAATAGTCGAGCTATGGCAAGGTGACGAGGTCGAATCACCTATGCGCCGCAAATGTGCACGCATCGTTGCATTATGATTCTCGTAATTCATCGGAAATCTTTTGAACGTTGTTGGCTGAATGTTTTATGATAAGATAATTACCAGTGAGCAGAATTCTACAGGTTTCTTGCGAAGTATTAACAAACAAAAAGTTCAAAAGAAACCGAAGAATATTATAAAATTGAGAATTGATTGAATATTTGTGTTTAGTATCGACTTTTTGTATATTTGAATAAATATATAAGAAAAATATAAAAATAAATTAAATCAATTAATTGGTTATCAATAAATAATTGGTTGTATATAAAATATTATAATATTAATATTATTTTAGAGTTTTGTATATATTTCTTTACAATATATCTTTCAAACAAGAATTTAAATTAATTAAAAATATTATCAAGTAATTAACATGTTATATTATTTATATAATAAAGTTCATTAGATGAATAAAATATTTTTCTTATTAATATATTATTTCATTAAATTTATATATTGTATAGAAATATATATTGTATATTGTATAGAAATTATTATTAAACTGATACTATAAATCATCGAAATGATTTCCTTATTGGCAATTTATTCGAAGATTATTAGATAAATTATATTTGAATCTGAAGCATCATATGATAACACTAAGAAAAACAATATGTAATTCGTTCCATTCACATAACATCATCATCCGCATGCTGATAGGCGTTTCGATTAAGCGCAAAAATTAATCGCTCCTCCTATTTCTCCACCTCTTGTTTACAACTTGTTGTAGAATCGCTTCAAGCTATAATTTTCTCCATAATCAGCCAATCAAATATTACTGGATTATTAAAATTTATTGGAAATAGTATAATAATCATAATAATAATCATTTTGTTTATTAATTATTTTTGCCATTAATGAAGTTTATTATTATATGTTATAATTTTCCAATTAATATTATTTTAAGATTATTTAATTTTTATTTTTAAATGGTACAAATATGCATATAATAATAACAAATATGACTTATTTTTAAACATTTTATCTGTGAAATATTAATTGATAAAAAATTATGTGATGAAATCTCATGATATTATAATAAAACAAACTATTTGAAATTTGTATTTGTTTAAATATAATATAATAATATGTAACATAATTACACCTATATAAAATTATATAAATATTTTTCTTATAATAAAATTAATTAATATTATTAATTCAATAATAGTAATAAATTTCTTATTACTATAACAAATCTATAAAAACATTATTAATAATTATATTATATTTAACTACATATATCAATAAATATTTATTATTATATTTATTATTTTAGACAAGAAGAAATTTTTTAAAAAGGACATTTAATTTTCTAGGCCAAATCATTTAATTTAACTTCAAAGTTTTTTATATCTTAAAAATGATTTTTAATATATTATATTATGCAATATTATTATTAAATAATTTACTTTTAACTGCAATTCAGTATTTAAAAATATGAAAATCTTCATTTTCAAAAAATTTTTAGACATTTTTTAGATATATATATACATTTTACATATAATATGTACATATAATAAACATATAACAAATTTTAAATATATACATTTTGCTTTCTCTAATTTAAGTACAGAATCCTTGCTATTATTGCAAGAATAATAAAAACATATAGAGAAAGCTATATCTTGGTCAAAGTAAAATAATCAAAAATCACAAAAAATTATCACATACTTTTTTATCTTCTATTCATTTCACATTTTTCGACTTCATCTATTTCATTCAATATTTTTGGATGAACAAATAACTTACAGCCAATTTTTCTTATTGATAGAGATATCGTGGTCAGAAAAAATGATAGTTGCGGAAATGCATTTTCGTCCATCGCGGTATTTCAATAGGAAACTCTTGACCGATCGTGACTCGCGTTGTCTCCCTATTGCATCAGAATGACTCCTCGTTACCTCTTAGATACCTGTAGATGTAGTTGTACGACCTTTGCTTAATGTTTGTTAAGCGATTGAAAGATGAAGAAGAAGAGTGATAGAAGAATATAATATAAACCTGATGAAATTGGGAATTCTTCTTTTGCTATTGGATATATTTTTTGCAAAATTTTATAAAATTTATTCGAAAATATAGCAGAAGCTATAAAAATTAGAATCATTATAGAGTATTAAAACAAAATGTTAAAACAAAATGTTAAAAATCATATTAAGATTTTATATTAATTTAATTTTTAATATGCTTCCAATAAATAATAATATAAAGAGATTATGGTTTTCTTATTTAAATCGTTATATGAATAATAAATAAACAAAGAAACGATTTATATTATGATAATCTTTAATTTTTTTTGTTTATTTAACATCTTTTATAATTATGTTTGTAATTATATATAGAAAACTCTCGAATATTTTGTCGCAATATTTATGTATATACATATGAAATTTGTATATTCATTAAAATCATTTTCCTTTTCATTGTTTCCCGTTAAAATTTATAATCGTTTAAAAAATTTTACAAGAGTTACATCATGGAAAAGAAAGATTGGTTATTGCATCATTTAAAGAGAAAGGATAAATGCACATTATTAAGTATGGTAACTTACAAGTCAATGAATGCATCATTTCCTTTTATGCGATTATGGAAAATTCTTCACTCTTTCTTTTGTATGTCACTATTATTAAAAAACAATCGATTAAAAAATGTGAAACATCATATTATTGATATTTATGATATCTTCAAACCGATAACTGCGTAAAAAAATAAATAATTAAAAAATAACACATTTTAACATATTAAATAATATTATTATTTTTAAATAATAAATATTCATAGAAATTATTAATATTTCTTCATCTTGAATTGAATATCGATAAAAAAATATGAAAAAATAAAATATATGAAGAAAGAAATCGATGAACTTGTCTCCAGGTCTTTTAATAATAATATTTTATCGCACGAGGAAAAAATACAAAAGCTATAAATTATGCAATCCTGTCTTCATAAAAAAATTTACATTTCTCATTTATAAAAGAACTATTATCGATAAACTTAGGATGAGATTCTAAAAATATTCTTTATAGATCTTAAAATTATTATTTTTTATTTTGCGCATTTAATCATAATTTTTACTTTTATCACTTTGTAATTTCCGTTAATTTTATTCTTTTCTTTCATTTTTTTTATCCAAGCTATATTATCCAAGTTCAATTTTCATATATATAATCCAATAAAATTATATTATTATTATAAGAAACAATTTTACTTAAATTTTCAAAAATCCTTAATAATTTATCATTTTTACTAATTAAATAAATACATTATATTTTATTTATATACATATTTCAAAATCATTATCAACCAATTTTCTCAATTTTTTTTCATAACCAACAAATATGAATAAATAAATATACATAAATACATAATACTAACCATTAGCTTTTTAATTTTCTAGGTTAGAACAAAATTTTATTACATCCATTAAACAAGACTTCTTCATCTCATTTTTCCATTATACTAAACTTAATAAACTTAACAAACAAATCGATGAAAGCGGATGAAATGTTCATTCTCAATGTCTATTCATATAATTGTCGGTTTACAAAGATTATCGTGATGTAATTGCGCATCTGCATGAGCATATTGTCGACATGCGCTGATATCACATAAAAGAAGACAAACGAAATAACACTGGCTCGTTGACATTTTTGCAATTTCACGCGATTTTTTACCATGATTCGCGGTTAAACAAATTAACTGTGTAATTATCACTACGTTCTCTTCAACTACTAGTAAAATTACTAGTAAAATTAAGTCCTCCAATTTTTCTATGTATTTTACAAATCGACAGAATGTTAATAATGTGTGTGCGTGCATATGTGTAAAAAATAATGCGTAGAAAACAGTGTATAACTTGTCTGACAAGTCTTATTAAAATATATATATATATATATATATAAATCCAAATTATTTTAAATTTATCTATTTTATTATTAATTATTTTGCAATTTGAAATAATTTTCAGATAGAAAGTAATTAAAAAGTTCGAATAAAAAATGAAAATGATAGTTAACCTCATTAAATTTGTTACGCACTAGTTAATTAAATAAAATATTTGTCGATATTCATATAATTCGATATTCATTTTAAATTATAAATTTTTAAGTATTTCATGATTCTATAAATTGAATACAATATTAATTAACAATTAAATAAAAGGAATTTATATTTTAAACTTTAGCTGAAAACTATTTTTAAAAAACTTATAAAAACATAAAACTTGTTTTATAATAAATTTATTATAAAAATTATATTATATTATTTAAAAATACTTTTAAAAATATCAAATAAATTAAAATAAAATCAAAGACAAATTATTATACAATAATATTAATACATATATTTAGATATATTTATTTATATTTATTTATAAACAAGATAAAGAGTTCTATCATTTTGATAATTTCGACAATTTTATTTTCTTAATATTGTATAAAAATGTAAAAATAAAAATTTAAAAAACTTTAAAAAAAAATCAATAAAATCAGTAAAAGTTGCAAAATCTCAAAAATAATATTCATCCTAATTTATAATCAGCAAGAAATAATATAAAGAAATATATACATATTCACAGAGATCGATTATAATACGTAATATATTAAATATGTAATAAATTATAAATGCTATAATGTTTTGCGCAAAGAAATCATTTTCAATATATCATTTTTAAATAATGCAAAATCAAATCTATATTTTTTTTAAATCTTTATATTTCATCATTTTGAATCATCATATTAATTCATAGAATCGTATTTTACAAAACAGTATGCATTTTATTTTATATTTTTATCTTATATATAAATCTAGGGTTATCTTAATTAAGGATTTAATTTAGGAGTTTTATTTTTTTATTATTTTTATTATTTTTTAGTTTTATTATTTTATTTTATTTTTTTATTAGCAACAAAAATAGAAAAGAATTTTATTATTTTCATTTGCATAATAAATAATAATTGTAACCAATAATGTATCGCAATTAACGCTATTTCATTTAAAAATACATTTGATCGATTTCGAATGTATTTACAGAAAAAATTACAACATTTATTATTTATGATTCTAATATAAAAAAAAAAAGAATGACTAACTGATTAAAGGTAAGATTTTCTCAAAGTATTCATTAATTATTTATGCATAAATCAGAATGACATAAAATTACGTAATTCTATGTAAGTTTTTTATATATAAATATATATATATATATTATAATATTAATATATTTTTAAAAAATTTTTATCATTATAATCAAATAGAATTTAAAAATTTAAGTAAGTTACTTGTATTGATAGATTTTATGTATTGAATATTTTCTAAATATTAAAATCTTATACAATTCAAATTACATATTTGTAGCTTGACACTTCATTAAATGAAAGACATTAATGCAATATTCAATAATGTATTGAATAATATGCATATTTGCATATTAAGAAATTATCAAACGGAAAATTAAATTTATCATACATATCATACATATTAGATAAATGGAAATTATATTATAAAAATATTCATTTGGATTGTAATGCGCAATGAGATATTTAAATGTTATGTAAAGTCAAAGTTGTTCTATTTATAAGCTGCAACAAAGTCTGGAAGAATGGAATGCAACTTCTGGTAATATTGTTAATAGACTTCCTAATTTGTATTTTATATAATTAAATTTTTAATATAGATACTTATATATCTATCTATATATATATATATATATAATCTGTTTAAATAAACTTAAAATAATTATTTATTCAGAAAATGAAATTGTAAATTATTTTTTATATTTTTCAGGAATTATATTTTTTCAAATGTTGTACATTGTATTTATACAAAAAAAAAAGAAATTGATTTTATTAATTTATTATATGAGAATCCTCTTTGTGAATTACTTGTAAATTAAAAACATGTTAATAATGTTTTTATATAGATATCAGTACAAGCAAATACATTTGTGTCTAGCTAAAAAAAATTCTTTGAACATTAATCATTTAATGACGTGTACTGCAAAATTTCAAATCACTTGGAATCTTAATTCTATCTATCACGGATTACATAATATTGATTGAAGAGTCTTCCTCTCTCTCTCTCGCCCAATTTTGATTGAAATAGAAGTAAATAGAGTAAATTAAATATAATTTCAGATTGAGAGAGATTGATTAAAATAAATTTACCATCTGTTCAAATAAATTGCTTGAAAATTGCTTGATTTTAAATAAATTTAAAAATAATTATCAAATTAATATAATTAATATAATATATTAATATAATAATGTATAATGTATCTTTAAAAAAAAAAGCACTATTATTATGTAAATATATAAGATAAGAAAAAGTGTGAAAGGAAAGTATAATCATATAAATTTTTATATTTATGATTTAAGATTCTAAAACTTATTTCAATAAACATTTTATTCATAAATGGCAAGTCTTCTAAATGAATTATGAATGGAACCATTATATTTTTATTTTTCGAGTCCAAAAGAAGATAGAATTATAAATTTTGATATTGAAACAACCACGGAAGAAAAGGAAAGGGAAAAGAAGTGAAGGGAAGGAGAAAAGATGCCTCGAGACGCGATAGCCGGAGGCATCTCTGTATCTTCTGAAATGGCAAGGTCACCGGTAGTTACGTCACCAACTTTCCTCAACTCTTCTCAACACCGAGAAAAGCAAATGTCACAATTAACAAGGACGCTCAGCCGCGTGTACTTACTACGCCTCGAGGCTTCGTTGACCAAACAAGTAATGGGGGTAAAAATTGACCATTTTGCAGATTCGGCTTTCACATTTGGTTATTCGCAACTGATAGCCATAGGTTTCTACATCTTTGTACCAATGAGTCTCTGCGGATCATCCAAGTTACGAAATCGCTAACATCTTGTAAGTGGCTGTTCCACATTTCTTCTTCAGCAAAATAAAAAAAGAATTACAGTTACAAACGATTCATCTCTGGTGGCATATAGTGTTATGATTTTTTAAAACATTAATGAATGAAATATTAGATTTTTTATCTTTTTTAATTATTAAAATTATATTAGATTTGAAATGATT